CCTCTGACCCTCCCAACCCTCCCCCCTCTCATGTGCTCTCTCTCTCAGTCTCTCTCTCTCTCAAATAAATAAATAAAATCTTTAAAAAAAAAAAAAAAGAGTTATGTGTATATTTTGGATAACAGTCCATTATCAGATAGGGCTTTTGTAAATATTTTCTCGCAGACTGTGGCTTGCCTTTTCATTCTCTTGATGAAGTTATTTGAAAAAACTGGGGAGTTTTTTGCAGATGGGCACAAGGGAATTTTTGGGGGTGATGGAAGTATACCAAAACTGGATGATTGCACAACTGTATAGATTTACTAAGAATTCTTTTTTTTTAATTTTTAAATTAACATATAATGTATTATTTGTTTCAGGGCACAGGTCTGTGGTTCATCAGTCTTACACAATTCACAGCGCTCATCATAGTACATACCCTCCCCAGTGTCCATCACCCAACCACCCCATCCCTCCCATCACCCTCCACTCCAGCAACCCTCAGTTTGTTTCCTGAGATTAAGAATCCCTTATGGTTTGTCTCCCTCTCTGGTTTCATCTTGTTTCATTTTTCCCCTCCCTTTCCCTATGATCCTCTGTCTTGTTTCTCAAATTCCTCATGTCAATGAGATCATATGATACTTATCTTTCTCTGATTGACTTATTTTGCTTAGCATAATACCCTCTAGTTCCATCCACGTCATATACATTTACTAAGAATTCTTAAACTGTAATTTTAATTGGGTGAATTTTTGATTTGTAAGTTATACCTCAGTACAACTGTTTAAAAAAATCTTAAAGAAAAAACCAAATGTTACATTTATAGTGCTTGGGTAATTTGTACAAGGTATGTGACAGCAAAGTACAGAGCTAGTATTAGAACTCCAGGCTTTCTCTTAAAGGCCTGTTCCCTTAATTATCAATCCTAAAACCTATTTATTTTTTACCTTGCTTAGAGATTCCTTATTAGCAAGTTTGCTGGATGGAGTAAGAGCCTCTGGTAACAGAGATGTTTGTGTAAAAATGACACCAACTCATAAAGGTCAGCGATGGGGGTTACTGAGCATGCCTGTTGATGAGGAAGTAGAGAGCCTTCATCTCAGATTTTTAGCCACACCTCCAAGTAAGTACTGATTTAAGTATGATTGTATTTCCATCCATCTTAATAATTTAAAAATTAGGAATGCAAATCTCTAAATCTTTTTGAACCTTTTCATCTTACAGATGGCAACTTTGCAGATGCTGTATTCAGGTTCAACGCTAATATTTCATATAGTGGAGTTCTGCATGCAGTAACACAGGATGTAAGATAAATTGTATTACAATTTGTTCATTGTCATTAACTTCTGGAATGGAAACTTTTTGAAACATTCTTCTTTTACCTAGGGTCTCTTCTCAGAAAACAAAGAAAAACTGATCAATAATGCCATAACAGCATTATTGTCCCAAGAGGGAGATGTTGTTGCTTCAAATGCAGAACTTGAGAGTCAGTTCCAGGCTGTGAGGAGGCTTGTGGCTTCCAAAGCTGGTTTTCTGGCCTTCACTCAGCTTCCAAAGTAAGTTGTCTTTGAACTTCTTTTAGAGAATACAAACAACTCAAAATAGCAGATATCAACAGTTTATCTGTCTAAAACCTTTCATATGATGGTATGGTAGTTTTTATTTATAAATAAATGAAGGTGAGTAGAACTGAAGGGTGTGAATATTGGTCCTATACATACCTGCATTATACTGACTCTTGTTTATTTGTTTTTAAGATTTTATTTATTTATTTGAGAGAGAGTGAGCAAGCAAGCATGAGGGAGGGGGGAGGGGCAGAGGGAGAGGGAGAAGCAGACTCCCTGCTGAGCAGGGAGCCTGACATGGGATTTTATCCCAGGATTCTGGGATCATGACTGGAGCTGAAGGCAGATTCTTAACTGACTGGACCACTCACGCACCCCATACTGACTCTTTTTTTAATGACTTTGAGTAGGAAATTAAATCCCTTTAGGTGTGTTTTTTTTTTTTTTTTAAAGAAAAAACAGGGGCACCTGGTTGGCTCAGTCGGTTAAGGGTCTGCCTTTGGCTCAGGTCATGATGGGATCGAGCCCCCGCATAGCGCTCCCTGCTCAGTAGAGAGCCTGCTTCTCTCTCCCTGCTTGTGCTCTCTCTCTCTCTGTCAAATAAATAAATAAAATCTTTAAAAAAAAAAAACAAAAGATTTATTTATTTGAGAGGGGCAGAGGGAAAGAGAGTCTTAAGTCTCCATGCTCAGTGCAGAACCCAACGTAGGGCCCCATCTCACAACCCTGAGATCACGATCTGAGCCGGAACCAAGACTTGGAAGCTTAACTGATTGCACCACCCAGGTGCCCCCACATCCCTTCTAGTTTTAGTTAATTTTTAAAAAAATCTTCACCCTCAAAAAAACTGTTATGGGAACCGATAAGTCTAGAGGTGTAATTTAAAATATGTACTTGCTGAATGCAATAGAAACTCAAGAGGACTTATTATGTTACATTTTAATAATAATGCTCTGATAGTGCTATTATATGCTTTTTGTTGTTGTTCCACAGGTTTCGGGAGCGTCTAGGAGTGAAGGTAGTAAAAGCACTCAAGAGGAGCAACAATGGAGTAATCCATGCAGCTGTTGATATGCTCTGTGCCCTCATGTGTGTAAGTAGTGGTTTTTTAAAAGGAGACTGGTTTGTCTTAAGTTGATTGATGTTTTAAATTTTCACAAACCCAGATTTTCATTGTACCAATTAAATTCAGTATTTCTGTATTTCCTAAATTGCTCTCTTGGCAATTTATTTATTCAAATAAACGTTTGTTTAGCACATCCTGTAAACCAGGCACTGTGCTATCTACTAGAAATACAAAGTTCATTCCTCCCTTGAAATTGCCGACAGTCTAGTAAGGTAGGCATATGTGTACAATCTAAAGTAGTAGGGGCCACGGGATCCCTAAAAAGCAGCACTTAGTTTTTTGGGTTTGTGGTGAGGGGAAGATAAAAGATTCGAGGCCAGTCTTTTAGATATTACAAATGATCTGAATCTTAAAGCACAGGCAGGTATTTTCCCACTGTGAGAAGGCTTTCCTGGGAAAGGGGGATAGCATATACAAAGGTATGTTGGGGAGGAAGCAAATAATTGAAATGGCTGGGTCATAAAGCATGTATGCAGGTGTGTGGGATTAGGAGTTACAGCTAGAAATATATGCAGAGACAGTCATCAGAAGCCTTTTGTATCAGACAAGCTGTATTTGTATCCTTTAGTAAGGAACAACTGAAAGGTTTTTCATCAGGGGAGCAGTAATATTAGCTTTGAACTTCCAAAAACTCACAAATGTTTTGTGGAGACTATATTAGAGGTAAAGTTAGAGACAGGTAGACCAAATATGTAAGAAACAAGATGCTGAGGTAAAGAAGGCACATTTGAAAGCTGAGGGTAAAGATCTAACTTGGTGACAGCTTGTATGGGAGGAGAAGCAATGAATTTTTCAGTATAGCTTTGAACTTCCGAATTTACTTCAATGTTGTATATAGCATGTGGGACTAAAGTGTTTTAGGCAAACTTAGAGGTATAGAATACACCTAAGTAATCACTTGTATAAAACCTTGCATTTATACTCAAAAGTGAATTTTACTATCTTTACTACTAATAATTCCATTAAAAGAATTCTGGGATAGGGGTGCCTGAGTGGCACAGTTGGTTGAGCGTCTGACTCTTGGTTTCTGCTCCGGTTGTGATCTCAGGGTCGTGAGATTGAGCCCCATATCTGGCTCCACACTGAGCATGGAGTCTGATTGAGACTCCCTCTCCCTCTGCCCCTCCCCAACACATGCTCCCCAACATAATTTGAGAGAGAGAGAGTGAGCACAGTCGGGGGAGGGGCAGAGGGAGAGGAAGAAGTAGACTCCTTGGTGAGGAAAGAGCCGGAAAAAGAATTAGTGGGATAACTAGAACATAAAATAAAATGCCATAGTGTGAAACAAACACATTGAGTTCTCATTACATATTAGGTTTTGGCTATATATTTTACATGAATTATCTCATTTACGCTTCATAACAGTCCTATGAGCTAAGTACTATTAATCTCACTTGGATGGCTGAGGAAAGTGAAACTCAAGAGTTAAAGCAACTTAACCTTGCCTGAGGTTGGCTATGGTCAGTAGCAAAGTTAGGGTTGGATCTTTACTCCTAACCCTCACGCTGGAATCTTTTTCCCATTCTCATTTATTCCATCAGTCAGAAGAGACAAAGAAGTATTTGCTGTGCATTTTAGTACCTGCTTTTAAATGCTGTTTAAAAAAATAAATGCTAAGTTTTATTTCAAATTTAAATTATAAAATTGGGGGAGAGGAAATAGGTGTCATTTGCTTTTTAAGGAGGAGACCTGTGACTTTTGAGAGAGTACCTTGTACAGCACTCTCTACAGATACTTGCTGGGCACAGTATCTATGAAGCCTCATCAGACCCTGGGGGAAATCATCACTTTGCCTGCTTGTCTTATCACGAGTTTCCTTTCTGCCTTTAACTTTAAAGGCTGTGTTTTTTAATTCTTTCAGTATTTAATGAATACTCTTTATAAATGACTTTCGTGTGATGCCAGCATGTGGGCCTGCTCATGAATTATCACTGTTTTTAATCAATAGCCCATGCATGATGACTATGACTTAAGACAAGAACAGCTGAACAAAGCTTCTCTTCTCTCTTCAAAGAAGTTTCTGGAAAACTTACTGGAAAAATTTAATTCCCATGTGGTGAGTTATAATTAAATTTGTCTTAATGAGAGATACTGTACATTATTGAAAGGTATTCTAGAAGTACAGTTTGGCGGGGTTTTCTTTTTTTTTTAATTGCAGCTCCCAACTTTGGTCAGTATTGGTCATACACAGTTTGGTCAGCTTGGTCACTCACTAATAGGAAAATGTTCTGTTTTAGGACTATATCCACTCATCTGGGAAGAATAAGTTGCAAAGACTTTAGATTTTTTTCTTTTTCTTCAATGTCATTATGAAATAAGCTGCTCTAAAAAAAAAAAAAAAAATTAAGCCAAATCTTTGCTCCTTAGTCACTGGTAACAGTTTTGGAGATGGGTAATCTATAGATCTGAAAGGAACAAATTGTCAGAGTTGTTTAAATGTTGCCAAAGATTGCTTTTTATGCAAATACTATACATATTAACCTTAGTTATATGTGTTTGAGGAGTCTTGGTTATTTTCTTGAAATTTGACCAAATTTTAATTATTTTTCTTTTGAGATATGGTAAGCAATGGATTTACCACATTAGTAAAACAAGTACTCCTTAGGGTAATCAAACTTTAAGCTTCATGTTAAGGAATTAAATGTTTACTTTTAACATATAGGGTAACAGAAGCACATTATTGTTGTGTTTTACTTGAATTTCTCAGTACTAAGGCAATATGTTACTTTGTTTCAGGATCATGGGACTGGTGCCCTAGTTATTAGTTCACTCTTGGACTTCCTTACTTTTGCCCTCTGTGCTCCATATAGTGAGACAACAGAAGGACAGCAGTTTGATATGCTCTTAGAGATGGTAGCATCCAATGGAAGAACCCTCTTTAAGCTCTTTCAGGTGAGAGCTTGTATCTTTCTTATCAGATAACCATTTTTTGGGTCATTGTGGTTTTAAAATAAGGGATGTGTGCTTCTGTAGTGATGCTGATAAATACAGCCTAGTACATTGTCATATTAAGGATATTTAATTCCACAGATTTCTTGGTATTTCATGTAGAGCTCTGTTGATGGCTTTTGACCACTGTTTTGACCCTGTTGCCCATCTTTTCTCAGAAGTAGTGAAAAACTCATTTTTTTCTGTAATAGGCCCATAGTACCCTTTTCTTTTTTTATTATGTTTTTAAAAAATTTTTTATTGTTATGTTAATCACCATACATTACATCATTAGTTTTAGATGTAGTGTTCCATGATTCATTGTTTGC